TTTTCAATTTTATGCCTTTTCATTGCTGAAAATTTAATTTTGATGTGGCATAAAATCCCATTTGTTTATGTGGCTTCGCTTTCAGGTTTCTATTCATGATAGGAACTGGTGAATAATAAAGCAAAATTCTGCTGCTGATGCACATAATTTAATAGCTCAACATGTCGCCCTGATTTGTGGCTACAATGGAGATAAAATATTATTCAAAAATAATTTAAAATTTTGATGATTGATTGTGACAAGGAACTGAACAATGTAGAAATTTCATTTGGTTCATAAATAGTTTGAATGTGACCCTTCGGTTTTTTGAGGATTATTGGAAAAAATGTGTGCTAAGGGGCTACAACTTTTGAAGATAACCTTTTCTATTCTAAAATTCAGTCATAACAAAATTTGGTTCATATATAGGTGTATGTTGAATTAACAGTATAAAACTTTGATTATTGCATTGCAGTCTTCAATAGATTGAAATGAATTGTGCTTTAGACTATCATTATCGACCAACGCACATATATTTATATTTTAGATTTTTAAAATATTATGTAAATATATAAAAAAATAAAATTATATTAAATTAATATTCGCGAAAATTATCGAACGTTCGCGAACGAGTCCGTGTTCGTTCGATTATTAAACGAGCCTAATTTTCTGTTCGAACTCGACTCGATTAACAAACGAACGAGCTTTTATTGAACACGAACTAGTTTTTGTTCGCGAACGTTCGGTTCATTTAGAACTCTAACTTTGAATAAATGATTGCAAAAATTTTTAATTGGAGGACATAAAATGATGTGTATGATCAGTGGTCGTTAATTTTTAAAGTATTGTAGTGTATTAAATAACATAAATGTGACACGTATAATTACGTTAGAGTTTATTTCATTGATATATGTCGACATAACGTGATTCTTTTAGCTCAACTCTTTTATATTTGGGGATTTAATTTCTTTACAAAATTTAAAAGGATATTTTTATTATAGGAATATCTATCACTTTACCTTTTAAAAAAATATCCACATTATTTGAGAATTTATAAAAATTGTATTTTCTAATATCTCCATCAAAGTTAGGTCTGAGAAAAGAATTCTACACAATTTATAAAAAGCACAAGTATTCTAAATTTCCATTTAAGATATCTATATATATTGAAAAAGAGAGGTCAATAAATCATTTTGGGAAACTTTTAAAAAATAATGAGTCAACCATGTTGACTTACTACTTATAGAAATTATTATTTAAAAAAATCCGATGAAATAGAAAAAATAGGTTTTTCAACCCTAAATTGATGGGTTTTGTTGGGCATTTAACTTAATTTACGTAAATTATTGGATGGAAACTTAACTGACAAATCAAAACCAGATCTAAACTAATTTCCCCATCTCTCTCAAAATCGGATCCCACTAATCTTGCCATCTCTCCCAAAATTAGATCCAAACAAATCACAGAAATAATTCTCCCAAAATCCGTCCAAACAAATTAATCACATCCAAAATAATTCTCCCAAAACCAAATCTTCCAAAATCAATCTAAACAAATCGCATCCAAAATAATTATCCCAACAATAAAATCCAAACCATTTCTATCGACATGAGGATATAGGCATGGCGGAGTTCCATCTGGTGTTCATGGTGGAGGAGATGGAGGTGGCACTGCCGCTGGGATGACGGGGACGACAGGTTCGTGGCGACGGCGGAGCAGGAGAAGTGGGTCATGGAGTTGATGGACTCGGAGGCGGACCCTTCTTCTCTATTTCTGCTTTTCTCATGAAGGGATGTTTGGATCTATCATTGCATCCTAGGTAAAAATTCGTTCTTTCTCTTCATATGCCCTATTTTTTACGCATTTCATTGTGGTTGTGCTTTGTGCGTGTTTCTGTGGTTGTGAAAAAATAATGTCGAATTTGTTCGTGCAAGATATAAATAAGGATGGGTTTAGGCAAAAATTGGCTGAAGAGGTTCGGCTCGAAAAAGGCGATTCGAGGGCCTTCGCAGGCCCGTTGAGGCTGCTTCACGTGTGGGTTTGAGGGCCGGGTGTATGCGATGGGCGGGCGGTTGAGCTTCGCGATTGGAAACTCGCAGTCAGTGGACGTGTACTGCCTCGGGACTCGTGCATTGCTGCAGATTAAGAAGGGGTGTGTCGGGTGTCAACACTGCACGCCGCCGCTCATTTTCCACCGCCATCTGCAATACGTGTCGTACCCATACGTCGCATAATTTGATTTAAAAGCCCAGAACGTATAGGTTCAATGTAAGTCATCCAGTTGGATGTTATTTATTTTGTTTAATTTGATTTATTGTTGTGCTTTACTTGCTTTGTTGATGGTTATGCTATCATGGGGTATAGTAACTCTATGATCGTGTTTGATTCTTTAATGCTATAAATTTTTGAATTTTTTAATCGGCATGCCCAAATTGCCAATTTACTATGCCTGTAACTGATGCAATGTGCTTATCATCTATGAATGTGGTCCTAATGAGCTATGAGAACAATTGGGCCCTAAGCCTTATGGAAGTGAACTATAAATGTACTGAAGTTCTGCTTATATGTTCATTTGTTTTACTGTGCTATAACTATTTATATTGGTCTGATGAGGTATGAGAATTGTTGAATTTGTTTTCCACATTTCTAATAAGTGTTCTTGGAGAATCTCTAACAACTGTTAGAATTTAAATTGAACAAACCAGTTTTCTGTTGACTATACCGCCTAGCGTTGGATACGTACAAAACCCGTTGAGTTTGTACTATTGTTATGACGTTGAAGGCACCACCCGAACATTGAGTAAATGCATTACCGAGGTTCGTTCGTCCGATATTCATTAAAAAATCGATATGTGTAAATCGAGCCTTATGAAAGTGACTTATAAATGTACTAAAGTATTCGACCTTTCTGCTTTTTTTTTTTTTTTTAATCGGACTCAGGTTACTAACACGCCATGGGGTGAAAGGGTGACATTTTTGTCCAACCCGAACTCGGACTTAGTCGCGAAGCCTCTTCATGTCAGCCTTTTCATGATGGGTTTGCCATCAATTATTCGATTGGCTCATTGTTTGTAATGTCCATTCTCTTGTAATGAATTTTGGCTTATAGTTATGTTCTATTTTTGTAGTTAATGTTACTGTTTTGCAATTCAATCACAGGACATGCTTGGGAACTGGAAAATGAAAACGAGCTAACCAAATGATAATCTGCACGTAGTAATTTTAGTGCATCATCCGAAACTCGGTAATTACTCAACAGCCTCATTGGCAGCCAAAAGAGTAGTTTCGCTTTCGCCACTGGATCATTCTCGGTTCTTCTGGTTGATGCCTCATAAGGTTGCATTATGGATTTATTGGCATGTAAGAAGAACTCACTTGATGGTTATGCTATCATGGGGTATAGTAACTCAATGATCGTGCTTGATTCTTTAATGCTATAAATTTTTAAAATATTTAATGGTGTCTTCTTAGGGTTGTGTATTGAAGCTTTAGAGGAATTAAGAGAAAGGAATATGGAACTTTTGCATTTGATGCTTACATATCTAAAACCGTCATCTTTCATAAACTTATGTGTCAACTAAATTTTGGTTTTTTGTAAAATGAATGTTTTGAATATTCAACTGCTGAAAATTTGTGGTGTGCTGATAATTCTCAAAAATCTGTGACCAGTAGATGTCCGTGTGTGTGATGCAATGAAATCATGCAAAAATTTGAGATTTATATATACATTATATTTGAATACTTGACAGTACATTATAGTAATAATATGTAGTGGTCTATTTAACATTCTGAAATGCTTTTCGATTCTCATTGTCAGTAAAAATATGCATTGTGTTTGTAGATTTATTCAAAATTATCTTCAAGTTTTTCTTGGGCTGGTTTCTTGATATAGAATTTGAAGTTGACATAATCTCCATTAAACTTGCAGAAACGTGTATAATAGAGCTATCCCAGGAACACATCACAAAATATTTCTGGCAAGTTGGAGGAGCACGTGAAGGTTTCATTTGGTTCATCATGGAAAGAAGTGTTGTGCGGAAAACATTTAGAAGAGGGAAATCTCAGCGTTAATGTCATTGGAACTTCTCAGGTGGATGCTTTTATTTGTTTCAACTTTTCTTTTTTTTTGTCAATGTAATAAGAGTTCTAAGTTCATTAAAAAAAATTATATGTGTGAAGTAGTGTCTGAGTTTGCAAATATAGATATATTATGGAGATTTGTCTTCTGACACTATTTAAGAATGCAATAATGTTTATGCTTATATGCTTGTATTTGTAGATGACATTTCTTTCATGTTGTTAATTAACCAAATACAGATCATATAGGAAATTGTGGTCTTTGACAAAAGAATGCCATGCTGCAAAGTTATTATGAGCATATAATTGTGGTCTTTGACAAAAGAATGCCATGTTGCAAAGTTATTCTCTAAGCATATGAAGATTGAGGAACATGTGGTGATTCTTATAAATTTTGAAATTTTGAAATGTCAGATTGAGTTATATTGTTTGAATTGTTTATATCTCTACTCTTATCACTGATATGCAATGCAAATCATGTCCCTGTATGATAACTGAAGCATGTGACTATTTATAATTTTATTGGACCTCTGATTATACTTACGTAATATGTGATAACAACAATAGTTATAAACAATAATTTGGTATTACGTTAATAATTTGGTATATTTACGTAATATGTGAAAATCATATTTACTATATAGATAAAGATTAATCAAACAATTTATGGTATAAAAATTCAAAACTAATAAATCTGGTTTTAGTATAAAGTGGATGATTTTATGGTATAATATGGGTGATTTTATTTAATGTATGTGATGGTCATTTTTATTTTTGGTAAGAAATGTATTGTTATTAATAAATCCGATTATGATTATGATATAAAGTGGACGATTTTATGATATGAAAGATTCATACCATAGTTATTAATATATTTATCGTTTGAAAAAAAAAAAGATTCATACCATAGTTATTTTGCAAAATGATTCACACCATAAATCCGATTTCGGTATAAAGGGTCGACTTTTATATAATTTACATAAAATCAGTTCGTGATTAATTCAAAGTCGTTTTATGCTATGAATCATTCAATAATGAGCTTTACAATAATAAGATAGAATTACATATCACACAAACATAGTAGTAAAAAAATTATTACTATATACACCAAAAAAATCTCGCGTTACTTTTTAGCCAAGTAAAATCGGGTCAAAAAAAGTGCAGATCTGTTTTCTTTGCGTTTTGTAAAAATATATTATGGTTGTCGTCTCACAATTGCCCAATATAAAATTTTAATCCATGATGACGAATTTGGTTAAGTTCAAAGGTGACTTCCCCTTTTTTGGTTTGATTTTCGAAGCTTTGTTAATGAGCGAGACAGTTCCCCATATGGTTCATGACGATTAAAAAGAGTGAGAGTCAATCTTTATCACATTTTGGTTTCTTTATCACATGTTGGTCTGTTCTTAAAAGAGTCAGTTTTTCAGTCACGACCAGTTATATTCAGTTGTTTCTCATGTCGCTAATCGAAATAGCTTCAAAATATTAGTTTATGGAGATGATGGTTTGCCTACAAGGCAAACAAAAAATGTTTTGTACAAAGATGTGTTTAATAACATGTAATGTTTGTTTTTTTTATTCCAGGTTGATTAATATTTTTTATTTAAAAAAATAATAATACTGTGCAAATAGCCTTAAAATTGTTCACCCCGTGCATCGCACGGGTTCAGTACTAGTTCTTTTTGTAAAAGGAAAATGATGGTTATTTTGATTTCTGCAAAACAGAGTTACTCTTAAAAAAAAAAGGTCGTATATAGCAAAACAAAAGAAGTTCCAGAGCAAGTCGTCCTACTCTACCGGACACAGTTGGGAGAAGCTCATCGGAATTAGGGTTTTGGAAAATTTTTGGTCACCCGTTACCTCCAATTTACTGAGCGAAGGTAACAACTTTTCGTTCCTTTTGTGAATCTCGTTTTTAGATTTATGGGTTCTGTATTTTTTCCAATTTTTATCACGCAGTTTTATGGGGTATTCATTTTTTCTTTTCTGATTAAGTCCGAAGTCTTTAAAATCAATTGTGTGTAAAAATGTGGAGGTGATTATTTTGGATGCCGGTGAATGATTTGATTAATTTTTGTCGATGAATTCTTCTTTTTGCCTTGTTTGTGGAATAGAATTGAAGTGCGAATATTAAATGAACTTTGCTGTATTTTCAGTCCTCTTGTATCCATATTCTGGGCAATTTTGTGAAGATCAATGCATGAACATCCTTTTCTTCTATAGTAAATTTATGAGAATGTAAGGGACTGTTTGTTTGATTAGTGGCACCTTTGTTGGTAGATTCGATTTTAACTTTGCTTCTTTTACTTCTGTAATTGCTTCTGTTAATCATCCTTTGTTTCGCCTTTTGCCCTGTTCTTCTTCATCTTTCCTTTTAACGAATACCTAACCGTAGGCTCGTAATGAAGAAGAAGAGACCAATAGAGGTAAAACCGAACAATTTGCTAAGGCTCGTTGAACAGCGACTTCAATCCAGAAGACAAGGAAAGTATAGTAATAACGACCAGCAGGCACTAGATATACCCGAAGACTGCCTATATAACATCGTTCTCCGGCTCCCCCTCGAGTCCATCTTGACCTCAAGATTCGTTTGCAAGTCATGGTACAAAGTCATCAACAGCCCCCATTTCAAGAACTTGCACCTGACCCATTCAGAACCCGGGTTAATTTTCTTATCTCCAATCGCCAGATCAAACTCGTCACAAGATCCCGAACCAAAAGTCAACTTCTCGGTCGAAGCCAAGTCAATGGGCCTCGACATGCCCCTTCTCGACTCGGTTCCCCCATTGTACCACATAAAGTTTCTAGAGATAAAAAACGGCAAAAGCGTGACAAGAGAGTACAATTCAACGTGCATCGGCAGAATTAAAGCGGCCGGCAATTGCCTGATCCTGCTCGAAAACCGTGCCAAGAAAGGAGGTGGTGGTTGCTTAATCCTGATGAACCCGGTGACTCGGGAGCTCAAAAATATCCCGTTGGGAACCGTTTCTTATGAGGGAGTCGAGTCGTACGGGCTGGCTTTTAGCAAAGAACTCCAGATTTATAAATTAGTCCATTTGTTTTTTGTGTCGGGCTTCATCGGGTGCGAGGTCATGGATATCAGGCAGGGGTCATGGAGAGAGGTTGATGGGCCTCAGAACATTCATCGCCGCATGTTGGGCTTGGGCAGCCCGATTTTCGCCATGGGGGCCCTTCACTGGAGTCACCCGCCCTTCATGAGTAATAACGGGCATTTGGTGTCAATGACTTTGAATGACGAGAAGTTTAGGACGATTCCTTTTGCTGATGGCATACGGATCTCGAATGGGATTTTTGAGATGGGTGGGCTTGTGTGGTGCATGTCGCGTGAGGAGGCCCATTGGGTCAGTGTGTGGGCCTTAAGGGGTTTGGATGGGGAAAGGTGGGAGAGAATGTATAGCATATGTGCTGAAGGGGTTGGGTATATGGTGCCCCTTTACTGTGGTGGAGGAGTTAATGGAAAGTTTGTTTTCAGGAGTAAAGATCAGGTTCTGTATGCTTGTGATCGTCGATCGGGAGATATGGAGAAAATCGGGAAGATTTGGGAATGGAGAAACTATTTTCCTCATGTGAATGGTCTTGTCTCGTGGAGGAATTAAGGAAAAAACGAGGTAATTTCTTAAGTGATTTTGGGTATTGGATCATTTTATTTATTTATTTTTTTACTCTGTTTTTCCAAGTTAATATTTCAAGTTAGTTGTGACATGGGATACGATGTTTCTTATGTAGTAACATGCATGACTAACGTCGGATAATACATTGGCTTTGAAATTATTAATATTGTGAATAGATATGTTTGATACAACAATTGAAGTTTGAAATACATTGACACCATCTTTCTGGATAGTTTACAGCTATACAAATAGTATGCTTGATCATCGTCTGAATTTCTGAAAAGATCCTGCAAACTTTCTAAGTCTACAAAAAACACAATCATGAGGGTTTATATCTAATTTAAGTTTGTCCTATTTATTTTCGACATGGGATTAAAACTCCAGGTTATTTATGTAATTTGAAAGTTATTTGGGACTCCTGAGAAATTATTAGGATGCTGCAGAAGCTGGCTTTGGTGGGGTGGAAAGGAAAATGTCGAGAAGCTCGTCAACGGGAGTCCATTTCAAGTCTGGATGCATTGCCGAGGCCTATACTGCAAGTATCCGGTAGAGCTGCCATATACCAGACAATCATAATTACAAAAACCACCTTCAGTTTTCTCCTAATTACCAACAAAGCCTGGTATTTTTGGATATTGCCATTAGTACTTTAGTTTTTATCATGTTCATGTGGTAGAACTATTTGTGCATATGAAGTTACTGTCAATGAGATACTAGTATTTTGTGAATATGATTTTTTTTTTTAACCCCTAGGTAGCCATTTGTGTTGAATGTGCCACCTTCAATTGGCTTCATTATTTATCAATCGGCTAATCTAATCTAATCGTTAACCACACATACTTTTTTCAAACAAACAAAGCATATTTTCACGTGGGAATGTCATAATTCAATTCAAAACACGACGTAAAGCAACCGATTAAACTGTTTATAAAAGTATCGGCAGCATCATATTTCCAAATACAGGTTAAATTTCAAAACACACACTCAAGATTATTTCGACCGAATTTCAGAAAAAAATAAATTCCAGCCAAACCGAAACATTACTTCTGGAATCACCCAACAAATTTATTCGAATGGCGTGTAAGCCGGCTTTGGTGGATTGGATAGGAAAATGTCGAGAAGCTCGTCAATTGTAGTAAGTTTCAAGTGCGGATACAAAGCCGAAGCCTCAACTTCGTTCTCCCCAAGTTCGAAATTTGTGGTTGCACCCTTCACAAAGACACTGTGAAAGACACAGATTGGTATGTTTTGGGGGTCTGGTAGAGCTGCATTATATCACATCATAAGATCTGAGTCAAGTTTGAGTAAAATATGAAAAACCACCACCAAATTTTTGCCTAGTTACGAAAAGCACCCAATCGCTCGACATGAGAAAAAAATTCCGTCTAGAATTCAAGAATCTCATTTTTTGGTGTAGAAAGCATGCAATTTTAGGATACATAATGAAAATATGACAACATAATTTCTTACTTTGGGAAAGGGACACCATTTCGTCCTCCGAGACATGAACTCGCTTGAAAATTCGCCCGGTTTTCTTCTCCCACAAAGTAATCAGCTCAAGCTGTGATATTATGTTGGCTTCAGGCCTGTAAATGACGACACGATTGCACGTTCTTTGATCGGTTGCCACTTTTATCGTTAAAATGCCAACATCCTCTTCATAGTTCAAGACAGCTAATATTATGCAGAACAAGAAACATATTGAGAGTTAAAGCTATCTTCTGAATGTAACTAGAGTTTTAGCCTAAGGAATATCAAACTACAATAATGAGTTTTGATTGGAATATTTTGTACCCTGAACTTCCCCACTGCCATAAACAGTGATATCTTCCTTTTGCTCAGAAGGGTGTAGTAAATAGTTGACAAAGTAAGCACCACAGCAATTTGCAGCCACAAAAGTGTAAGGTATATTTGCAGCTTCAATGGCTCTTCGGATTTTCTTCTTCCTCTCGAGCACCGTTTGGAAGGGCGGCAATGCAGCCACCCTGTCCTCTTCCACACCAAAATCCGACGGCACAAATCTCTGGAAAAATTGTTAAAGACAATACTTCTGAGTAGGACTGCAAATGACCCGAGTCAACTCGAGCTTTTGCTTTAATGATTCAAGATTGACTTTTTTTTTTCTTCCCTTCTTTACAGTAATTTTATGACAAAAAATGTTTGGGGCTAAGTAAGGTAAACTTATAAATGAGTGGCTCGTCAAGCACACGATCCTACTAGCTTAGTGCTGGAGCTCGAACGGGAGGTGTATACAAATAACATAACTATACCATAAACTTCAAAGTGCATTCTGTAATAAATCTAAAGTTGTTGACCGTTTTTTGCATATCCAACATTTTGTGATTTGAGGTAAAACGGTCAAAACGACACCAGCCGAAACAAATCATAATAAGAAAGTTTAAAATTCGAATATATCTTACTGAATATGCAAAAAAGAACAAACCTTGATGTTACCAACAATCTTGATGGCCTCCAAGATTTTGAGCTGCTCGAAAACTTGAGGATACGGCAAAACAGAGATCACAACATCAACTTCCCTAAGCACTGAGACGAGCTTTTCATGATCGCCTATTTCTCCCTGAAAAACGACAATAAAATGAACAAAGGTGTTAAAAAAAAAAAAAAAGAATAAGATCGTACTTTGACTATAATGGCTCCCATGGATTGAAGCTCGTTGAGGGTCTCTGTCTTGTTAGAATTAGGCCTTGAGAAGACATAAGTCGGATGTCCTAATTTGATGCTTGCTTTCACTATGTGATTTCCAATGTAACCTGTCCCTCCAAATACTAGGATTTTGCTCTCATCTTTCTCCATTTCTATTAAAGGGGTCTTGATAAATGAGAGAAGCGAATTCTGGTATCTTATGTTCGAACTCGTGCTCGAGCTCGGCTAAGACTGAAAGAGATCGATTTAGACTGGTCTCACCTAAAAAGCAAATTCTGGTTATCTCATTTAATAACCGAGCTCGAGTTGTTTAGATTTGGGCTCTAGCATTATGTTAAATATTCCTCTATATAGGTGCCAATTGGTCATAACATGTAATTTTTAAATCTGCAGACATGCAAGTGTTGCATAATGAATTGTATTCATTAGGACCAAGAGGTGAAGTGTTGATTGGTCAGAGGATAAACAATGGCTTGTCGTGTCTCATGCTCCCTATTATTTTATTTATTTATTTATTTTTATTTAGGCTGATTAGGATTTTAATAATTCATTTAGTTTTGGCACATATCTTCATTCCCAACAAAATGCACTGACCTACAGCTAGCACTGTCAAACGGGCCGGTCCGGCCCAGCCCGCGGTTCAAACGGAGCGGGCCAAAATGGCTCCATGGCCCGTGGCCCGCCCTCATTAGCCCGCAGGCCAAATCGGCCCGCCCGCGAGTTTTTTGGTATTATGCACTCTTATATACTTTTTAGTTTGTTTATCCTTATATTTATTAGTATATTAATAAACTAGTAAGGCTTCATGTGTAATGATGTTAAATATTTGTCATCCAATTTTTTTTTTTATTTTTTTTTTATGAATAGTTATAAAAGTAAAATAAGAAATACTAAATTTAAATAATATAAAATTAACAAATAAATAAATAATAAAAAATGGGTTGGACCGCGGGCTAGCCCGCCCCAGCCCGCTTTAGATCGCGGGCCGAACGGGGCAGGCCAAATAGGCCCGCGATTGAACGGGCTGGCCAAGCAAAGGCCCAAGCCCGTCCATTTAGGCGGACGGACGGGCCAGCCCGTTTTGACAGTGCTACCTACAACTGCCAAACTATTATTCTGAAGATAATAGGTATGGCTAAGTAGGTAATTTTTCTTATAAAATTTTTATATCAATAGTGTTCATGTGACTTTCAGAGATCAGATACCTCTTCATGCGGGTGAATTCCGGTTTATTTCATCCGTATCCGGGTGAGATTTCATGTTTCATTACATAGGATGATTGACACGTGTACAAATATGACATCATCATTTATACATGTCATTCATTCAATGGAGTAGAACACGAAAGTGAAGCAGGAAATCTCATTCTTTTTCTTATACAAGAGTGAATCACTTATCTCCGTTTCTCCTTTGTTCCCTCAAAGGTCATTGTTCTGTAAAGTGTGACCCATTTAATGAAATCAGTAAAGAAAACTAAAGATGAGATTTTTTTTATCCCACCTAGGAGATAGCATCTTAAAAATGTCAAAATATCACATAAGAGCATCTCTAATGTGGCTTTTGACATTATAAAAATTTATTCATATCATCAACTTTTGAAAGTGTGTTTACTAATTTATTCTCCAATTCATCTTGTCATGAACTCTTTCATGATAAGGTGGATATCATTTAATGTTGACAATGTTGAACACACTTTCTAATATTTAACACCATGTTAAACATGATAACTAATCAATTCACTTTATATTTGATTTAATTCTTTATTGTTCTTGTACTAATGATTATTTTAATTGGTACACCTATACAAATAACGATACATTGGAGATACTAGTTTGATTCAAATTTCTACTTTTTTAACATTATTCCTACATGGATTAACATTACAATCATTGAATGACACACATTACAATCATTGAATGACACGTGTTAAAAATCATTGTCTTTCAAAACTATAACATTGCAGATGCTCTAACAATATCTGAACCCATTTAATGAAATCAGTAAAGAAAACTAAAGATGAGATTTTTTTATCCCATATAGCATCTTAAAATGTCAAAATATCACATAACAATAGCCTTCAGAAACAAGTGTCTCCAGTTATAGTAAGCTATTCCGATGTCTTTTATTTCAGAATGCTGTCAAAAGCTTAAATCCCAGTAATGTGTAAACTATATATGTGGTTATGAACATACAAATTTCTACTAGCTTCTACAGCACATAACGGCTAAATATAACTGCAAATTCGAGTCTTTCAGCTGTCATGAGATGCAACAAAGAGAGGGTAATAGCTATATCTTTCAAGAGTCTGAACAATGTTGACATAAATGCAGATTTCATATACTCAATGCTGTAATAATTCATCCTTGCAATTTACAGCATTTCAATATAAGACACCACATTACAAAATGCAAAACAGCCACTTCGAAGATTAAGCAACTTAACCACCAATCGACTTGAACACTCCAATAATGCAAAGGTTTGTAAAAATTTACTTCCAGGCAAAACTGGCCTTGCCAGCTAAAAAGTATCTACACTCAATATTGCATCAAATCAAAGTCTTAAATGAAAACGCTATTAACTAAAAGTTGAAACGCACATGGAGGTAACCTCAAAAACATCCAAATTTCTACTTGTCTTATCATCAATTGAAACAATTGCAATGTAAAAATATATCGACCAACATGAATGCCTTTCATTCTTCCAAGACTCAAGTTTTAAAGGGCTCTTTGAATTGCTAGTCACACTGAAGATCGCCAGTCATTTTAACACGAAATTACTGAATTGCTAGTCACACTAAAGATCGCCAGTCATTTTAACACGAAATTACTGAAATAAATAAGATTCATGGATAACCGAAATATCAACATATTTCTAATAAGGTGCAACAAAGCTCTGGACAACCTCAAATTCAAAACTGAACAACAACAACAAAAATATCAAAACTTGCGATATAACATTTTTCCATTATCATCAAGGGGGGCAATTACAGCCAATCAGACTTTCGATCATGGCGTACCAAACAATACTACAAGAAAACGGATTACACACCAAATGCTCATCTTAATGTAAAAGCTCACGCTTTTTTGGATCCAAACAGATGGGGCTGAGTAAATAAATCAATCACCACCTTGTTGTTTATTTTCATCAACAACATCTTTTCCACTATGATCGTGATCGTGATCGTGATTGTGATCGCAATCGCTCTCATCATCGGAATCGTCCTCGTCGAACGGCTTTTCCTTGTGGAAAATGCAGCATTTTTTCGAACTCTTCTTGTTCATGAACTCGTTATCCACGGTTCCTTCCTTCCACGACACTTTCTTTTTCGGGAGCTTCAGTTTAAGGACCAGGGAATCCGTGACCTGCGACTGCTGCTGGCTGGACGACTCCGTTACGAGGGTCACGGTGGTGGTCCGGGTCGCCGTCGCTGGCGCGGCGGAGGGGGAGGCGATCGATTGCCTGCCGGAGGTCGGTCTAGCCATCTCGGGATTAGGGCTCAGATTTTGATTTTGTGAAATTTTGGGGATAAAAGCTGCGTCGTTTAGGCGTGTGTCTTTGCGTTTTGGAGTTTGGACTTTTGGTGAAACAGCTGAGTTGGAGGAGTTCGTCTTCCTTGTTTTTTTTTTTTAGAATTAAATAGTTGAAATAATTTTTTGGATAAAAAACTAATTTTGAATAACCGAATATAAGATTTTTAAATTGAAACTTATAAAATTAATTAATTTTACATATCAAATAGCTAATTATGTATAATACATTGCAACAGTTTGGGTTAAATTAGTGGATTAAGGTGAATTAGAAGTCACTAAACCTCTACTTTAATTATTTTGGTAATTAAAGTTTTGAAATAACTTTTAGATTTAAAAAAATAATTTCAAACTAGCTCAATGTTGATCTAACAGTTTTAAATTTTGTTCGACTGAAATTATGAAATTTAATGTTTATAATATGTGATTAAAACGATAAAAAGCGTTTTAAAGTAGACGATTAGCACGAAAATAGATATTACTGAGGTCGGGTTCTGCCTTAAATGTGGTATTAAATGAGTGAATGTTTTTTCTTTGTTACAGTAAACTTAATTGGCCAGAAAATATGATCTCGCCTCTTTTCTGATCTTTGAGGTTATTTATAGTAATATATGCTCGGTTATTGGTCATTGGGTCCGTATCAATTTAATGTTGATTGACGAGCATTTAATGTTGGGCAGGCTAACAGACATTAGGTTTAATGTGATAGTACGCCTATCCCATCGATCATCATTGATTCCAAAAGTGGGAATATTATAATATCCCTCGCGGCAGTGATGTGGGGCCCTCGACTTCGATTGTTGAGGTTGGATGACTGGTGCCATGGTCGATTTCGTTCCAATTACATTATACGCCCATGAGGTCGGTTTCCTTTGACCGAGCGAGGAGGTCCGACCTGAGATTTTATAGCCCGGGAACCCAACAATACGGATTTCGGGATTTTCCCCCTTTCAATTTGTATATCAACACTCAATGTATGAGCTTTTTGTAAAAGATAATTCTAAATTAGTGTTTTTTTTCTTTTTTTTTTCTACACATCAAACACCTAATTATTTTGTCAAATATTTTGCATAATCAATTAATTTAATCAACTAGCCAGTCAATTCAATCAACTATTTGTTATCAGTTAATTAAATGAATCAAGCTTTTAATAGTGTAAACGAACTTGAAAATTTTTCAAGTTCGTTTTTGGCTCTCTCGTTACAAAATGAATCAATAATCGAGTTTAAATTCAACTCATTTAATAGTATCAATTAACCGAGCTTGAACCATAATGAGTTCAATTACAGAAAATTATACAACAAATACTCCTTTGAAGCCCAACCAAGTTTTAGCCGAACTCACAAGCAACTCGTTTTAGTTAGCTATAATCTAAACAAACCCTATATGAGAGAAATTAAACATTTGCAATTACCTAAATACCCCGCTAGCTTTAATCCAGCTCGTGGACCACGTGGACGCCTGTACACAATTTTTTAGAATTTCGCCATTGCTAATCGCACAACCAAACAGAGCGTACCAAAAATATTTTCTATAATCCTCCACAAAAATTATAATAATAATTCTAAAGAAAAATACAGTTGAAATTAAGATACCGATTTCTGGAGGGGAAGACGAAGGGGGAATCATGGCGGTCTGCGGCGGTTATTCAGTTACCTTCGCAGCTGCATCCTTCAATCCAAACAAGCCCTTAACCCCATCTTCGAATCCGTTTCAAACCTCTCCGGGACCTTCGTATGCTAGAAAGCTCCCCTTTCTTTCTCTTCATTCAAGTCAAAATTCCTCAAGAACCCATTTGACCAAAGCCAAAGCTTCTCCAAGTTTGATTGTAAAGCCCCTTCCTTAATTGTTGCACTTTTTTTTTATTAGAAAGTGATAGTTATTTGTTTATTTAATTTCGTATATGTTTGTTTTTGAACAGGTTGCTGCGTCAGGGAAAAAGCCGGAGCCTCTGAAGGTGATGATATCGGGAGCCCCGGCCTCTGGTAAAGGAACTCAGTGTGAACTTATTACGAAGAAGGTAACTTCTTTTTACTACACAGTTTATTGTGTTATTATAGTTAAAATGATGATTTGGGGATGCTGATTAGGTCAGACTCAACCTCTTACTCGTTGATGATTGGAATTAGGTGTTTTCAATTTTCATTCAAGCTGCATTCATTGGCGATTGATCGATGTCACGGATAAGTTTGTTAGAGTCAAAAGAGCGTTCGTAGTTATTTATCGAGCTGCATTTGCTGGTGATTAATCGATTTGTCATGGATAAGTTTGTTAGATTCAAAAGAGTGTTCATAGTTATGTATTGGTTGCTTAGCAAGGCAATAGTAATAATGTTTGTGCCCTTTTAGTTGGTTTGGGATTGATAATACTGAGATTTCTGCTCTATGTAGCATAGAGCATTTGTAACTGAAAAGGAATAAAAATGTTGAAGTAAGATATTTTTTCTAATTGATACCTCCATTTTTACTTAATTCTGGGATTAAAATAAAATAGAATATAGGCATTAGGCAAGAAACTTGTCGGATTTGCTGGGGATAAAGATCTCATGAGGAAGCTGATTTGGGGAAGTTGATTTCTGAAACATGTAAAGGGAGAACGAAAAATAAAGGAAGCTAGAAAGAGAAACCTTTCTAATCTCAACAAATTTGGAGATTTTTTTTTTAATGAAAGGTAGAAATTCAGATGGCTATATACGTAAGAAGTCCTTAGAAATGCAGTCACTTTGCGAGGACCGCTTCAACTTCTTGATGATAAACCCAGGTTGAAAGTGAATGCAAAACTTGGATAAAGACTTGAGAAACCAGTTCTTTTGATCTAAATGAAGGAGAGTTGAACTTGAATTTGATTAGGGTAAATTCGAGGAATCTATGATGGTTTGATCCATGATTGCAAAACATGATTACTTTCAGGAAGTCGGCTATGTGCTTGAGAACTCGTATTTGCGTTGCTCAGCTTATACTCTATTGTTTTAAGCTGCATTTTCCATGACCCCTTTAAAGGACCTTTTCATATAACCTTGCTAGAAACTCAGCCTCGTTTTATCTCTTCTGTGGACTTTCTTGCAAATTGATGATAGTTGAGTTTCTCAAGATATCTGTAAACTTTTGTTAAGTTCTATTAATTTTTTTGCATGAATAACCTGTATGGTCTTTTGCTACATGAATATGCATCAACTCTTTATACAAATGTGCTTATGTACTATTATTTCCATTTTAGCCTGGCCCTATCAAGTTTCGAACTATGAATCATATGGTGAAATGTTTTACCGAGTCACTTTTGACTTTGCAGTTTGATTTGGTGCACGTAGCGGCAGGTGATCTTCTGAGGGCTGAAGTTGCTTCTGGAACAGAAAATGGGAAGCTGGCAAAAGAATACATGGAAAAAGGACAACTTGTCCCTAATGAAATAGTCGTTATGGTAAATTTTGCCTACTAAAATAATTTATGTTTTCTGCATCCCTAGTTTAGGAAAAAAAAAATATGGGGAAATAAAAACACACTTACACAAATATGAGAAAGAAAAAAATAATGAGAAAAGCTCACTAGACTATTTGTAAATTAAATCATCATTTGCTTTTTTGGATGTAGATGGTTAAAGATCGTTTATCACAGCAAGATTCTCAAGAGAAAGGCTGGCTTCTTGACGGGTATCCAAGAAGCGAGTCCCAAGCTACTGCCCTCAAGAAATTCGGGTTTGATCCAGATATCTTTATTCTTCTTGAAGTAAGGTTCTGGCATATGTCAAATGTATTATTGTGTATTAGTGTACTTGTCTTATTTAGTTGCCTTTGATTGAATTATTTACCTTCTTTCTTGAATATATGTGAAATAAATTATTTTCAGGTCCCTGAAGAGATTCTTGTTGAAAGAGTTGTGGGCCGCAGATTAGATCCTGTGACTGGAAAAATATATCATCTCAAATATTCTCCGCCTGAAACCGAAGAAATTGCTGCAAGACTTACTCAGCGTTTTGATGATACCGAGGAGAAGGCATGCTTCATTTGAAACTGTTTCTTTGAAAACAAATTTCTTTTCTTGATTTTTTAGCCCATTAAGTCATGTTTTAGTGTGTGTATTAATGGTGTTTGACAGGTTAAGCTACGTTTGCTCACTCACAACAGCAATGTGGAGGCTGTGCTCTCAATGTACCATGACATATCAGTCAAAGTACGCTGTTTATAATTTTTTCTTCTTAAAATTTCTTCATAAGAATATACATTTCACTTATTACTATTTTTTAGTAATTAAAAATTTTTTCTTCTTAAAATTTCTTCATAAGAATATACATATTTTCAGTAATTTCATTTCACTTTTTGAGAACTTTAACAAGTCCCACCTTTTGATTGCAGATTGATGGAACTCTCCCGAAACAGGACGTCTTTTCACAGATCGACAGTATACTCACCGAACTGCTCGAGACAAAGGAGGCCGCCTTGGGTTCAGTGGCCGTGTAAAACAAGCTCAGATCAATGATAGGCGGGAAAATGCAGAAAATTGATTGAAAAAGAGAGGGTGTTGATATATACAGAGGATAATGCCATAATTGTTTGGTTTGTTTGCTAGGATAATTTGGTCCATATGTATGTACATACATATTTTCATATGGAAGATGAAAAAAAATCTTGAGGTTTTTATCTGGTCCACAACCGTGGTGTACTCTGAGGCTAATATTCGTTCTGCTGCACATTTTTGTCATAAAAAACCTTTCTATGGATTCAGGTACTGACCAAAAAAATCTTGATATAAAAGTGCTTCATTGTTCTGGCATTGACTAAAAACATAAATAAAATTCAACAACCATATTAGAAATTCTAGCTTATATTACCAATCAATGTAGAAAAATATAAATATTTACTACTGTCAAAAGATATAATAAGCTTCTTCACATATACGGTACATTTTAACATTATACCAAAATACTAAACAGTAAATGCCATTTCCCAACAAGCACTGTTGATCATATCACAACACTTCATTCAAGCATCAATCAAACCTTCCATACTGAACCAAACTAAACACCTTTCGAGTTAGGACTATTGTCCTTTTCGTCCTCAGGATTGCTTCCCGGCCCAGCCCACTCCAAGTTCCTATAGCACACGAGCATTAACCCGAGCAGTAAAACGACCAGAGCTAGAAGAATCGTGCAGAAGATAACTACTTTGCTCTTGAAGAACCCTTTGTTACCGTTATTCCCACCGCAAAAACCAAGTTCCGAGTTCACCAACCTCCTCGCGCTCTCGTTTTCGTCCATGCTTAAATCTTGATTCCCAAATAGGGCCTTATCACCGGCCACATTCAAGAAATAAGGCAGGACACGTCCCGAGAGATGGTTGTACGAGAGGTCGACCAGCGAGAGCCTCAGCTTGTCGAAATCCGTCGGGATAGAGCCCGTGAGCTCGTTTCTCGACAGGTTCAGCATGTTCAACGAGGTCATTCTCGAGAAACCGCTCGATATTTTTCCGGTCAGAACATTCAAGGCGAGGTTCAAGTCGACCAGCTGGCTAAGCTCAGGTCGGATTTTTGTCCAGCACCCTGGGGTCGGAATCGTATATTCCTCGACGTGTTAGAACAGTTGGGGAAATTGATACCAAGTACCAAAGACAGAAACTCAGGTTGGACCTCCCACTTAAAGTCGAGGTCGGCCTCTCATAGACGAAGACCAGTTCGATGGCGAAGATGCAGCCGTTGATTAAAAGTCCGACCTCGAAAATACCATAAAGGTCAGACTTCTCAAAGCACTCAAAGGAGGAGAAACACTATAGTAACCTCACTTGCAGCTTAATGATGACCGATGGGACGTGACCACATATTGTCTAAACTTTAGGCCCCTAGGATAATATGTCCGCATTAAATATCTGTCATTCAACATTAAATTGATGTAACAGTATCGGGCATGCCGTAGTATAATTAGTCATCGGAATCCATTTTGGAGGGGGACGGATGAATAAATTCTCTCTGTAACAAGACAAAGATCCTCTCATTCAATACAACCTTTGAGGCATTTAGCCTGCCGCTAATCGTCATGATGTTTGTGTTTAGGCCACTGTATGGTGTGCCTCCCAGTGTGTTTGTAGCCTTTGTGGCTTGTGTTCGGTTTGTACCAGACCTTTATTTCGGTGTTGTGCCGGCTTTAATAGAGTTCTTCTATCGTTGGAAAAAAAAAAAAAAAATACAACCTTTGAGGCAAAATCCAACCTCGACGGCTGGAAAGTCCGACCTCACAAAATTTCATTTTCACGCAAATTGTTCATCTTAATTCGATTTTTTCAGTTTAATCTCACATAACCCACACAAAATTTATAATTTTACTTGATCAAAACTGTTGATCAACAATTAATTATTTAAACTGTTATCATTTTATAATTAGTAAATATAAATAGTACAACAATATTTATATAAAGATTAAATTATTTACTAAAACATATGTCAATATTTACTAGAATATTTTGTATTTACTAAAATATTAACCTAAACTTAAGAGAAATTTCAATTTATAATGTAAGCCATTGAAAATAAATTCTTTGTTAATCTTTGTTGGTCCAATACTTTACCATATATTTTTTCTATTATAAATAAATTTGTTAAATGAAGATGTGTATTATGTTGAAAAATATTTGTGGTAAACTTTTATTTATATGGTACTATTTTAATATTAAAAATTATAAAAGAATTACAAAATAAAATTATAATACATAATAAATAAAAAATACAATTCCGATGAATTCATCCACGTGGTTTCGGTAAACAAGCAAGAGGAGCCCAAATACAATTCCGATGAATTCATCCACGTGGTTTCGGTAAACAAGCAAGAGGAGCCCTCCTATCATGGTAGAAGCAACGTGTTTTGTAGGAGTGACTTGCAACAAAAATAAAATTCTAACAACAATAATAGAAATTCTAGATTATATTACTAATTATTACTGTAAAAAAATGTTAAATTAATAAGAAAATCATATATAATAACCTACATTTTAATAACATTAACATCACTTTCTTGTTCTGAAAATGAATTACAAATATGCAGATCACACAACACTTCATTCATGCATCAATCAAACCTTCCATACTAAACCAAACTAAACACCATTCCATCTGCTTGAAACTCCATAAATTTTTAAAGTCAAGTAGTACAATTTATCTACACAAAAATAAGATGAAGAGACAGCATCGATACTAAATCAAACTAAACACCATTCCATCTGCTTGAACCTCCATAAATTTTCAAAGTCAAGTAGTACAATTTTTCTACACAAAAATCAAATGAAAAGCCAGCAGTACTACTAACAAGAGGGGAAATTTTTTTCAAGTCCTCTCATTTTTCGGCGAAATTATCTGTAGATTTGAACCCGGTCGGCTTGGCATCGGTTAGCATTCTAACAACTTCCTTCATAGTCGGCCTTAGATGCGGAAGCTTGCTCGTGCAACGAGTAGCAATCATCAAGACCTTAATCATGTCATCTTGAACTTCCTCACAAACTATCTTCCGATCGAGAATTTTCAATACATTCTCTCTACTGTCAAAATGAGTCGAGACATAGTGTACTATATCCCGCCCTTCACCATATTCCTCTTCTATCGGCCCTTTTCCGGTCACTAACTCCATCAAAACAACCCCAAAGCTGTACACGTCGCTTTTTTCAGTCAGCTTGAGCGAATAACCCTTCTCTGCCAAAATAAAACAGAACAATTCAATGCAAAAAGCTTACAATATTTGCAGAATGGGTTAAACTTTAAACAAGTAAGAACTTACCAGGAGCTATATATCCATGAGTACCCGCGAAACAGCTCATTTCGGGAGAGATATGATTCGCAACTTTCGCCACACCAAAATCGGCAATCTTGGCTTCATAATCCTTGTCGAGCAAAATGTTGGTCGATTTTATATCCCTATGGATAATCGGCGGCCTACAGTCGTGATGCAAATACGCGAGCCCTTTTGCAGCACCAATCCCGATTTTATACCTCCTGGACCAGTCAAGCTCCGGTTGACCGAACTTTATCTCGCCCCGTAAAGCTCGAAAAAGGTTCCCATTCGCCATGTACTCGAAAACCAAACAATGCAAACGCCCTCTCGTTAAACAAGCGTAAAGCTTCAGTATATTCCTATGCCGAATATTTCCCATTATCTCCATTTCACACTCCATTAACTTGACACCACTACCTTTGCACAGCTTCTTAACGGCCACCGAGCTGCAACTTCCTTTTCTCAAGTCGAGCCGGTAGACCTTTCCTGTACTCCCGCACCCGATCAGATTCTCCTCATCCGTTTCGAATACTTCATCTTCGTCAAATTCGAACTCGTTCTTATGGAAAATCTTGATCCTCCAGTTGGGACTATTGTCCTTTTCGCCCTCAGCCCACTCCAAGTTCCTATACCCCACGAGCATTAACCCGAGCAGTAAAACGACGAGCGCTAGCAAAATCGTGCAGAAGATAACTACTTTCCTCTCGAAGAACTCTTTCTTACCGTTATTCCCACCGCAAAAACCGAGTCTCGAGTTTACCGAGTTTTCGTCGTCCACGCATAAATCTCGATTCCCAAACAGGGCCTTATCACCGGCCACATTCAAGAAATAAGTCGGGACGCGTCCCGAGAGATGGTTGTACGAGAGGTCGACGAGCGAGAGCCTCAGCTTGTCGAAGCCCGTCGGGATAGGGCCCGTGAGCCCGTTTCTCGACAGGTTCAGCGCGTTCAACGAGGTCATTCTCGAAAAACCCCTCGGAATTTTTCCGGTCAGAGAATTCGAGGCGAGGTTCAACTCGACCAGCCTCGGACAGCTGGCGAGCTCGGGAGGTATCGATCCGGTGAACTCGTTCGAGTCCATTTGTAGAGACGTTATTTGTTTCAAACCGCCAAATTCGCTCGGGATTTCGCCGGAAAATTTGTTGTCGCTCAAAGAGATTCGCTCGACTTGCACGAGCTTCCCGAGCTCTCCGGGAAGCTCGCCGGAGAACGCGTTTTCCGAGAGGATCAGCTCCTTTAACTGTAAAGCAGCTCCTATCTCGCCAGATATCCCACCCGAGAAATTGTTCTCGCTAAAATCGAGCATTTCGACATTCGGTAGGGCCCACACCTTAACCGGAACCGGACCCTCGAGCCGGTTTCCACTCACCCTCAGCCTCTTCAAAGAGGTGCATTCCGCGTAACTCGCCGGAAAGCCGCCGGAAAATTCGTTCCCGACGGCCAGCAACTTCTGCAACCTCCCTTTCCGGCAGAGGTACTCCGGCAAGGGACCGGAGAACCTATTCTCCGATATGTCGATAGTGTCCAATGGCGAGAAGCGGCCGAGATTCCGAGGCACGGGGCCCACGAACCCGTTCATGTAGGCCGCGAACGAGATTAGATTATGCATCTCCCCAAATCCGGCCGGCACCTCGCCGGAAAAATTATTCCGAAAGACGTGAAAGACGGTTAGTCTCGTAAGATTCCCCATCCCATAAGGAATCTCGCCGGACATTTGATTTACGGAGACATCGATCTCCTGCAGAAGGGTCAGCTCGGCTAGCTCGTCAGGCAATCGTCCTGTTAGATTGTTCTGGTACAGCTCGATCTTGAACAAGCTCTTCAATTTCCCGATTGACCGGGACAGCTCGCCGGAGATTTCGTTCCGGCATATATCGAGCGTGCCTAATGCCTCGAGCTCGAATATCGACTCGGGTATTTCGCCCTTCAAGTTAGAGGCTCCTAAATAGAGATAGTTCAACTTCTTCAAACTCCCCATGTTTTTCGGGATTTCGCCCTCGTCGAAGCTGTTATCGCCCAAACTCAGCCACGTCAGCGCAGTCAAATTCCCAAGCCATTCCGGGAAGGGCCCGGAAAACTCGTTATCACACAAGTCGAGAGCTGTCAGCTTCTTGAGGCTGGACAAGTCAGGGACAGTGCCATTCATGGCATTACTCGAGACATTCAAATTTTCGAGGTTTACGCAGTTTTTCAGCTCGGCTGGGAGAGGTCCCGAGATCTGATTGGAGGGTAAAACCAAACAAGTTAGATTTGTCAGAAGCGAAATCGATGGCGATATGACTCCTGAAAGGGATTTGTTTTCCAGTGAGATTTTTGTGACCAACCCGGTTTCTTGATCACAGAGAACTCCATAAAAACGGCAATGGGAATCTGGTAGGAGCTCTGAATCGGAGTCGGAATCTTTCCAAGATTCGAGGTAGTTAAGAGGATCAACCAACTGTTTCTTGAATTCCAACAGGGCTTGTTTTTCCACTTTCAGACTCATGGAAATCAGGGGACATGAGAAGAGGATCAAGAAAGTGGTTAGTATATGGAGGGAAAGGGAGTTTGAGTGTGTGGCCATTTGGAGAAAGTTGAGGGGCATAATGGACTTTTCAAGTGGGTGACAAATTGTATAGACTGCTTT